TCCCAGCAGACACAATAGAAACATCTTTTTTTTTTTTAAACAGTCATGTCTTTATTTCAGCTGTGGCTACCAAAATGAATCCATCTATTTATCAGTCGTTGTCATAAACTGCACAAAGTAAACAAACACCTTTGTCTCACTGATGGATTAATAACTGGAAGACCTGCCAGTGAAAAGGAAATGAGGCTTCACAGTGAGACACAGGACTGCAGCCTTATAATGAAACTTCACAGATGTGTGTGTTTCACAATAAAACCACTGAAATGGCAGTGGCACATTTCTAAATGTACACATGCATAGAGTCGTCTTCAGAGAGCTGATGCTCAGATTATCTTTGTCAGGTGGAATTCCATGGAATAAATATGGTGAGTCACACTTTTCTGCATTTAATTTAAAAAACAAAACTATTCTGTACAATTTGTCTAAAAAATAAAAACCACAGCGTAGAGAGTCACATGAAGCAGAACTGTGTGTGCGGTGTTGCGTTCAGGGACACCACTGTTAGCTGCAGAAATGGGTCTAATGGAGTTTATGTAGTTTGGTGGGTGTTGAATACAAAGTCCATTTGGTGTTTTATTGCCCAGATCACAGTGATTTCAGGAAAGTGCTCTTTGTTTCTGACAACCAATTCATATTGGATTTGTAGCTGATTGATTAGTAGATCAACAAAAAAGAAACTGAAGCAGCAACTATTTTTATGCAGCAGTCACAAATTCCCAGAGCCCAAGATGATACTTTCAAATTGTCTGATATTCAGTTATAATGGAAAAACAGCAGGTCTTTGCATTGGAGCTGGAATGAGAGGATTTTTCTTTTTTTTTTCTGTTAAGTAACTTAAATAAAACTGACTAACTGTTTCAGGACTGAAGTGTAGAGCACTGTTGACTCAGGAGGACTGAACCAAGAGGCACTTAAAGCTCTTTATTTCATGCAGCCTCAGCTACATTTTGAACCAGTACTTGTTCACGATGATCCGTCCAGTCACTTAACAACATTTATTCAGTAACACCTGCTTCATATTAACAGTTCAACAAGGATAAAACCTGCAGGAGAAGCTGTGCTGTACAGCAGCCAGAGCCCCCTTTAAAATCCTATCAGTGCCTCCTGGTACAACACACAGATGGTGACAATAATTAGCATGAATTAGCTCAAGAAGGTGAAGGTTTATGGGAAGGGGGGCTTAACAGGTGGATTATATGCAAGCTGAATTTACCACAAGACCAGTCCTGTTCTAAACTGGTCAGGAGTTTGAACCTAGTGTGTTCATGTCCTCTGTTATATGCAGGGAAATCTTAAAATGTAGCATTTGTCTATGCAGTTCTTTGCTGCTGGACACGAGCTCCAGCAGGAGAAGCAGCAGCAACTCCACGAATCTCAGGATTAAAGTGAAGCAGCAGCAACTCCACGAATCTCAGTCAGGATTAAAGCGTCAGATCAGTGCCTATGTATATAGATCTTTATGAAATCAAACTGGTTCAGGTGCACAGTACATATCGGCTTATTAAATATAAAGTCATAATGTTATCGTTCTGAAACTTCATGTGACAAAACAGAACTAGTGTTGAACCTCAGTCCTCACTCGTCGCCTCTTCTGCTGTTTGAATGATTTGTTCAGTTTCTAACGTTTTACTTTTAAAACTTCCTCTGCGAAGGCATAGAGAATGCAGATGAGACATATTCATCCTTTTAAAAACATTTTCTTAGCATTTTTTTCTTTTGATAGAGACGAGCATTGTGACTCAGAACAATAGTCCATTATAACAGTGGCTCTGCATTATGCTCTTTATGTTGTGAAGCTGTTGAACGGCCTGAACAGTAGAGCGGATGTCCTTAATGACTGAAGCCAGGCTGCGGAGCCCTATTCTCATTTTCTGTGTGTGTGTGTGCATTAATGTTCATTACTGTTGTCCTCTGTTGGACACAATAACTGTGACTAGCAGCAGAAAAGCTCTTTATCTTTTTATTCTATATCCCTGTCTTTCAAAAGTTGTGTGTTTTTCACCCTCCTAGCTGTGATGACGGTGTCAGTGTGTAGGCCCACCACTTTGGTCCTGACTGAAATAGTTCAAAACTGTTTCCATAACCATTAACATTCATGTTCCCCAGAGGATGACCCCCCGACTTTTGACAGAAACATCTCAGCATCAACTAGAATGATTGGAAAATTAAACACAGTACATAAACCCGTGGCTCCTAGACGATGACTCCTCTGACTTTGGTGACCAGAACGTGTCGTCTGTGGTTTGGTTTAAAGTTGTGGTTCAGTGTTGGTTGTCACTTGGGGCTTTGTGATAAAAGTCGCTGTGTATTAAACCAGACCAAGGTCTTTCCTGAACCATCACCCAGACCTAGAGATGGTAGATGGTACTGAAGCTCAAAGCTTGTTCCACCATTTTAACGCACGGTGCTGGAGCTTGTGTGACACAGTAGAAACCTGACTGTTGACGTCTGAAGCTGTAAACATCTCTGCTGCTTCAGAAGGGCTTCGCTGAGGTAGAGTCTGAAGGTTCTGCAGCTTAAGTAACATTGGAGGGATCAGAGGAGAATCACAGGAACACAGCTTAATCAATAGCATTCTCCAGTCACACCACACTGCGACTAGTAATGTACATTCATGTTTAGCATTGGCAGCAGTTATGAGTTATTGTCTTGTCATGTTGCACAGTGAACACAGATTTAACAACACAGCTTCTTGGACCTTTCACGTGTTGTAGCGACTCGGCCACAGTTTGACAAACCACCAGAGGTCGCTGTGTCTGCTTTGTTTGACGCCCCAAAACTGAATCCTTTTCCAGCACAAATAGAAAAAAGCTCCATCACTGCCACTGAGAGTCTAAACTGAACCACAAAAAGCTGAGGCAGCAAACAGGAGCACTGTGATGGCTACACAGCAATGACTTTACTCCATAAGTTAATGTCTTGGCTCTAATGTCACATCATTTATAAATGTCTGCAGCAGTTTGTGTCAGTAAATAGAATGTTGGAGGATTCAGGACACAACGTGAGAGAACACAGCTCAGTTATTCTTGAACAGCGGAGAAACCAGCAGAGCAGACGGGTCAGAACCTCGATATGAACAGCAAAACCTAATATGGTCCACATAAGGAAAACAGAAGTAGATCAATGGATAAATAGTTTGTACATGGACCATTTTGGCAGTTAAAAAAACTAATCAGACTTGGTGACAATAAAAGATTTGTAAAAAAAAAAAAGACTGCCCCTGAACCTGATTATTCTCAACACATTGAAACTGTCACAGGGTTAGTAAAGTAGAATGACAAAAATAAATAAAGTGCCAACTGTGAAAGGTGCAACATGCAGATAAGGCTATAGAAAGAATCTTAGATCATGAATATTGTATAACCACAGCTAGTCTTATTACATAAATGTCTAAATAACTCTCCTGTGGGAGCAGTGAATAATAAAGCTCATCAGATCATGCAACAAGAGTAACTGGTAAATTGGACCCGTCCGTAAACACTGTGCCTGATATACACAGAAATACGGAGCCTGTCACCGCTGATAGACCTTCTGCAGTAATGGAAGCTGGAGAGAAACCATTTACTGCGTGCCTCTGGCTCCACTGTGTCGAGTGCAGGGAGTGAGGTTTGTGCAGCAGCTCCTGACCTGTGAACAGCCGCCTGGTGTCCGGCAGCGTGCGGCATCACAGCTCGTTGTGTGAGCAGCAGGTCACTGACACTGGAGCTGCTGATGTTGAGTTCTAAGTTGAAGGAAGACGTTGCTCTGCACAGTTACCACACTTAAATTGTTTTGATTTGGTACATGACAAAACAGTATATGTCTGTGGCTTATTATTATTATTAAATTTGCCCTGCAAATGTTGTGATGCAAGAGGGTTCCAGGTTAGAGGCCTGACCGACCCAGGGCCTTTCTATGTGGAGTCTGCATGTTGTCCCTGCGTGGGTTCTTTCCGGGTGCTCCAGCTTCCTTCCACAGTCCAGTGACATGCAGCTTAGGTTGACCGGCGACTCTAAATCACCCGTAGGAGTGAGTGTGGTTGTTTGTCTACATGCCATGTGACAGACTGGCGACCTGTCCAGGATGGACCCCGCCTCTCACCCAGTGTCGGGTGGGATTGGCTCCAGTGCAGTAAAAAGTACAGTAATTCCCTCTGTAACAAAGTGCAGTACAAGTACAGTATGAAGTTGCATTCAAATAAAAAGTATTTTAGTACTTGGTAGTTGTACTTCCTTGCAGCACTGGTTGATTGTAACGACAGATACAGCCTTTTTTTCCTTTGGAAGTTTAAGTTTTCCTCTGTGTTTTAAGCTGTGTCTGTGTACAGCCTCTAATCAGTCACCTCTGGTGTACATCTCTGGCTTTAGTTTCAAACTCATCAGCAGATCTGTGGTCAGACAGTCTCAGAAACTGACCAGCAGCTGTTGTACTGTTTGCATGCAGTGATGTATTACATCTGTGTTTATAGTAATGTGCGTGAATGTGGTCTGTGCTTAACAAATGTAAATGTAGCCTCCTCTGTCAGACACTAAACAAACTCAGATGGGGCTAAATCCTTGTCCTTATGGTTCAGTTAGGAGCTTTACTGTCCACTTCTCACACTGTCGTGCAGTGCGAGAAGCTAGTGGAGCAATGTAAACAGATCAGAGATCAGCGATTCTTCCTTCAGACTCTGTCTACAGTGACATCGTTCTCAGCCTGTGGAGCTGTTTGTTGGAAATGGACGGTTTCCTGAGGAGGAAACCTGCCTCCCAGTGCAGCGGTGTGGCTCACTGGGAGGGTTAATAGCTGGTGGACAACAGTGGTGTACGGCACAGAGCGATGAGCTGAACCAGTGAAGACACCACATTCACTGGTGCTGCTGGTCTCTGGATGGGGTTTGTGCACAGGAACACACAGTCACAATCACCAACCTTTAATGTGCATCTGTTGTGTCTTTACTGTTGTTTGTGACGTCTTCTCTTGAAAGGTGCCCTATAAATAAACTTACAACTGACTCACTTCCCAGGTGTAGGTGTATTCGTAACACATCAACCAATCAGACCTAGTGCTACATTCTGCAGATACAACTTACAAACACATAGTACATTACAAACAGGCTGCAGCATAAAGTCTGTCATCATTAACTTGGTCGTCTTTGTCCTCCCTCCCACATCTTCCAGTAATGTTTTAAACTGGTTTCTCTCTGTCTCTGGCCTTAGAAGTCATCATCATCACATATGTCCAGATACACGTCGAAGGCTTCTCGGTTGCAGTTTCCATCCGGAGTGAACACATACTTATGGAAGGTCCCATCCACGCATATGGCTGCAGGAGGAGAAAACACAGTGTGATTTCAAACAACAAAGTGAACAACACAAAGAGTCTGTTAAAGACACTGCAGCTGGACGATCAAACAAACGTGGAGCAACGTAAAACTACTGAGAGATCAAGAGGCTGATACGTTGTCACAGCACTGTGCTTTGAATGATGAAGTTTCCTCACCGATGACAGAGTTGACGTTCTTGGATGTGTTCTTTCCAAAAGCGCAGATACAGGCACATTCAGCCGGCACAGTGAAGCTGGCCAGTGACCACTGGCTGTCCACATACTGACCTATGACAGGACCCACCTTCCCAACACGCGCCAACCTGCAAGAGCAGGAAAGAAACATCAGCCAAGAATCCTCCCGTGGACAGTTTGAGGGTAAAAGAGAAGAGATTGAGGTTGGTCTTACGCAGAGCGGCGGTTGAGTTTGGTGTCCTTGAGTGCAAAGATGTGAACTGTGCCTTTGTCACTGGAGGCGCAGAGGAACGACGAGTCATGGCTGAAGTTGATGCTGGAGGGAACAAAGAAAGCAGACAGGAAGGACACTCAGAACCCAACTGGTGCAAATCCTTTTTCACACCACATCAAAATAAAACACTTTCACACCCTGTTCAAGCATCTGACAGCGCTTTGGTTGCAGCATACTGACACCACAAACACACACACACTATCGGTACCAGTAGAGGGTGGCTGGATCGGTTCCTCTGCGCAGCTCCACCAGTTTATCTCTGGTCGTCGTGTCAAACAGTCGGATGAGCGTTCCTTTACGGGAGGCAGAGGCCGCCACACTGCCAGGCTGGTTCAGTGCCACGCAGGCGATCTCACTCTGGTGGGCGTTGATGGTGAAAGGGGCCGACGACGTGCCAGGTTTGGTGTTGGACAAGTCCTGAAGAAAACTATTTTTATAAAAAACTGACCCACTGATACATTTTTTAGAGGTTCACTTGTTTCTCTCCGTGTGCGTTACTTACAACCAACTGCAGGCTGCCGCATTTATGGCCTGGAAAGACCAGCAGCTGTTTCTCCAGACTGGGACACAGATCACACAGACCTGGAGGAAGAGGTGGATTTAGGGCTGCAGCGATACATCAAAACCTGCTTAGTCAGTCAACAGAAACACAACTGTTCATGTAATCTGTTGGGCACACACTGCTAAAATGCTGATTCCCAGCCTCAAACATAAAGGTTTTCTGCTATTCTCCCACATGAGATGCAGCGTAGCACTGAGGCAGAAAACAACACAGATGACGACAAAATGTAAACAGGAGGAGGACTATTTACCTTTGGGGTTATCTCTGGTGTCAAACTCAAAAAGCTTAACTGGACTGTCTGGAAAACTGTACACGTAGATCCTGTTCTTTAATACAATGATGATCCTGACGAGACAAGAAGACGACAACAGTCACACCTCACGTAGCTGCTCACAGACGACAGGCTGAGCGAGTGGGGATGGTAAACTCACTTGTCGTGCCTCATGCGAACAGCTAGCACAGGTTTGGTGAAGGTGAACTCCAGCACCAACTTGTCTTTGGGGTCTCGCGTCTCCCGAGCGTCGTCCCAGATCAGCACTGACGTTAAACAAACATGACACTTTCCATCCATGTCTGTATCCAGCTCAGCACTGTAATGTCCCTTCCTTTGCACCTTGATTTAATTAGTGCTGTGTGTGTGTGTGATGGTGGTTTGGTTGAATGAACAGCCTTGTTATGATCTTGTATATATGGAGATCAGCACTGACGTTAAACAAACATGTCACTTTCCATCCTTGATCTCAATGAGAGTGAAGCTTTACTAACTTTAATCTCTTCTCTTGTGACCCTTCAGATCTATCTGGTGCCCCCTAGTGGGTCCTGACCCCCTGGTTGGAGAACAGTGGCCCAACAGAACCAAATGTTAAAGGAGTCATTTCACATGTCAGGAAATTAGCTCGACTGTCTTGCCAAGAGTTTGATGTTAAGACTGACCCACCTCTCGTGTCTGTACAGTAAATATGAAGCTACAGTCAGCAGTCTGTTAGCTTAGCATAAAGGCTGGAAACAAAGGGAAACAGCTAGCCTGCCTCTGTCAGCCTACCAGCACTTTTAAAACCCACTGATTAACCTGTTACACCTGGTTTGTTTAATCCGTACAAAACAAAGTATAAAAACGAGTTGTGGTTTAACAGGAGTTTATGCTTTGACCTATTTCTTCACTGGGACCACTGGTTTCCTGCCACACTAATTCCAGGGAAGTCAAGAAATTGTCTCACACATAACCTCCTGTACAACCACACTGTTGTTGTACTGTAGCACCAGTTCCCATAATGTGGGGGCTTCGGGGAGCGTAAACAGGAATGTCGCCTTGGAATCAGTCGGCTGTAAGCTACAGCTGGAGCCCTGTCGTATTAGTCTATAGTTATTACTGTTCCCATTAAAAGTATCAGAGCGAGCAGCTCTGTGCACAGTGCCCATGGATGTACAGAGAGTCACTGGATTACTGTGCTACTGAAGGAACGTTAGAGACATGAGGATCCTCAGACAGGTTCTACAGCCTCTTCTGCTCTGACTTCTAAGAGGATATGTGTATTTATTCATGACATTCTGAGATAACATCATAAACAAACTGTAAGTAACACTGAATATGTGTATTATGTCTGTGTGCTGGCTGAGTTATGAATCAGTAACACTGTACGAGCGCTCCACCTCCTCTGCCCGACACTATATTATAACAAGTGACTTATTTTAACTCACCAGATATTTCTGAGAATTTGGGATTGACCCCTCCTCCGACTACGGCCAGCAGGTTGGATCGATGCAACATGGAGCACAAAGCCACACTGCCTACCTGCTCATGGTCTGGGGGGGAGGGGGGGTGAGACACAGAAATCAGACAGACAGCCACCAAACCAGACTGATTAGCATCAAGGTACCTGAGAGCACTTACCGAGGTGGCCTTTCTCCATCAGGGGCTCCACGTTGTAAATCCTGACCCCTGTCTCCATAGCACAGCAGAAACAGCCTGGTGATGGGTGAGACGGAGGAAAGAGAACATTGTAAAATACTGCCTCACTACGTCTATGCACTAAAATGTCATAAAGGATTCCTGGATGTGTAACATGAAGCAGATGCTCCAGATGTTCAGTGACAATGTGCACTACAAGAACATGATTCAAATCAGATGCTGTTATGGTTTCTGACTTTAACGAAGACCAGGGTGTTAACCATGCAGCCAAAACAGTCAAAGCTTTTTAATACAGCAGAGTGGTTAATCATGGCTGACACGACCAACAGCTGGAACATGCAGATAAAATAGAAAAGACATGTTAGCAGGCAGCTTACTCTGGTCCTGGTTGAACTGCAGGCTGTTGACTCCTCTCTGCTGAGCCATGGCTGCTGAAGCCCGTCACCGAGATGCTACCGGTAAACTACAGCTTCCCCTGGGACCAGGGGGCGACCTGCGACAGAGGAGAGGAAAACACATGGCGGTAGTCTGACACGATAACATTCACTTCGCTCTCGGCGTCTTCAGCTGCAGTTGAGCAACAATGTTAGCCGAGTTAGCTAACGCGTTAGCATCAGATAAAAGCGATATAAACGCGGCCTGTCTCGTTATAACGTGGACATTTTGACAAAAGCCTCACCATGAACACGGAGAGTTAAGACGAAATGGAGGTATTAAGACCAGCAAACGGAACAAACAGACAAAAACAACGGAGACGTGACAGAACAGAGACTTGTTTTTGTTTTTGCAATGGTGACGTCGACGACACGTGTTTCCTGTTATCTTCCGCGTTCCTGGTCACAAACTACTTTTTAAAAGTTATTTATACAAAATCTCAAGTTACAGGTACTTATTGTGTAATATTTCCTCTTTAACACCTTCTCCACAAATAAAAGCAGACTTTAGAAATGTGAAGAAGAAAAACAGATGGCCAGAACTGAGCTTTAAAACTGCTGTTCACAAAACCAGTGGGCGACATCACAGAGGGTTGTTCCATCTTTTATACAGTCAGTGGTCATACCCCATACACTACCCATACTGCAGACACCAAGACTGGCTGGTGAACTTGGTGGAACAATGAGCAGCTAAAGAGCCAGAGATTTCCCTGATGAGGTGGTGCAGACCAAACACAGAGCTAACAGAGGGAACACTGGGCTGAGGTTCATCAGGGGGACACAGATACCACTGACCATGAAGGAGCATGTTCCTGTGAAACTGATGGAGGTAGACATAATCAACTCTTTGATCACAAATTCAACATATCAGTTTAAAAGGTGAATTTTGTGTTCACCACTTGTTTCCAAGAACAAAGGAACAAAAAGTGCAAAGTTATGGAGCTCCTGCGTGCTGTACTAGGCTATAGAAATTCTGAGTAATGCAGACATCCAGAGGTTAAATGAATCAAGTTGTAATTTCTTCACAGTGTAATCTCTCCCAGTAAACCGTGGCCTGTTCCAGTTTGACACAGACTTTATGACAGGCAGAAAAAAGTTCAGCAAGCTAAAAATGGAGAGGTTATTTGCAAGGCACTCATGTGCCAGTTAGATCAGATGTGTTGTACAGGGTAAGTTAGCAGAGCAGCTCCATTATTTTAATGTCCTCTGAATAGATCATGTCAGAAAAGTTTACAGACTGCTACTCCTACAGTAAAGAGTCCTTCATCTTTTACCTTCTGTGAAAGGCTTATAAAAGTCCAACACAAATTGAAATCCTTGATAAACATCATCTGTGCAGCGAAGGGGAGTGCCTACTTTTTTCTTCTGGTTTATTATAAGCATGGAGACACTCAAGGAAGCTTTTGACTCAAGTGCAGACCATTAAGCTATATTTAATCAGAGGACACTATCATTCTCAGCCCATAGTGGCTGGTGGTCACCAAAACCGCAAAACATCTTTGTGCACGTCCATATGCACCCTGTGCCTGGAGCTCAGACATGTGCTGGTCCCTGTTTCGGGGAAAACACAGCCCCTAGTTTCTCACTTCTCCCAGTAATACAGCAAGCTGTTTTGTTCACATAGTTATAGTGGTTTTAGAAGTTGCATAACAGTTGCTTAATCTTTTCTGTACATGTGACACTGTGGAAATGTGGCACGTGGACCTGACCAAGACTGTTCAGGTACCACTGCTGTAGCACTGCCATTAGGCCAAATTCCCACTTGCATGCAAACAAAGTGAAAATACAATACTTGCATGAAAAAATAGCATTTTCGATCTGGTTCGAGCTTCTTATTAGCAGGGAAACTTAGTGAATCCAGGTGCTTCCACTGAGGACTCACTGAGTGGCTCGACGAGGATGAACGGTATGTGAATGACATGCTGTTACCTTCATGCTCCCAAGGAGAGAAACCCTTTGGATTTTAGTGGCACTATGGACTTTTCTTTTTCTTCTTTGCAGAATCCATCCATGGTCTCTATCCCTCCAGAGAGGAACAGTCTTTCATCTTTCTCCCTGAGTATTGTTCTGCCTTAAGGTAAAGAAGGAAATTGTCTGATTACTTTAAGAAATCCCACATACAGAATCTCTTTCGACGCCCTCTCAGAGAAATTACATTTATATACTGCTGATTTGCCTTTCAAATTACATTGTGCTGGGGACATAATTGTTGCCTGAATTATGTTCACAGGCAACATGATACATATTTGTATTGCACACAAGTCAAAGGGTTTATGGGGAGCTTACAAAATGCAGGACTTTGTGTAGTTAGGTTTAGGAAACAAAAGCACTTTAGAAGGAAGCTGCTGGTTTCAGTTAAATGATAATATAGTAAACATGGCCTGTTTTGTGCTTCAAGTTGCTGTAGACATTTTCAATATTTACCCATCAAGATTTTAAGAACCTGCCTAAGAACATCATGTCTTTAACTTTCCTTCAGTATTGTAGTGATCCAGTGGGAGCTGTCTGTACATCCACCGGGACGCTGCACACAGCAGCTGCTTGCCGCTCATTCTGCTGGAAAACATTTTGCCTTCAACAAATACAGGCTAAATTGGCTTCAAAGAGAATATCAGTACCTACTGTACCTGTCAGCTGACATTACAATAGCCCTTTATATTTAAAGAAAGAAAAGTAGAAGACTAAGATACGGGGATGTTACACTGGATGGGATTTAAATTATAGAAGACCAGAATATTCACAGAAAAACAGAAGGGATTTACAGCTGTAACTATTACTTTGATTGGGGTAAAGATTCCATATACATGGTGGGATTAAAGCCCGGGTTAACAGGGACCTACTCAGCTCAGTAGGCTCAGTAACAGCAATTTAAAAACATTTGAAATGGCTGTGGTAAAACCACCTGATGGGGCAAACAGAAATATATCCAGTATATAAACCTAATTTCTTGGAGACAAGGTTTCTCGTGCGCTCTTGACATCATGTGGTTCAGGTCATTTGTGAAGGAAGCAATCAGTGTTCACTTCCAGAGCCGCAGCTGCTCGAGGTCAGGACGCATGGGCGTGGAGGCGCAATCAGGGATTAAGTTGTGGTGTAAAATATCAGTAGACAATCTAATTACATCTCCCCTCTGCTCCAACAAGCTATGATGTCACCCACAATTAACCTTTTGATCTGGTCTAATCTGATTGTGGTGCTCACAGGATATCTGGAGCGCATAATACATGCTGGAAAATGGAAGCACTGGTATTAGTAAATAACTCATCCAAACGGGCACGCACACACAGAAAGGTTCATATGCATTGGCAGTGGTGAGGACTTGGCGCCAAGCTCTCATCATCACTACAAATCAGAGTTGGAATTTTTTTTTTTTTTTAATTGGCAGAGCAGTTTTTTTCACCCGTAGCCGCTCGCTGTGTATTTTCCAAGTAATGCAGAAATTGGCCAGCTGGTTAAACAGCTGCCCTCCATTGCAGCGATGTGCGATGCCATTCATTCTCTCCCCAGGGCATTAATCGGTGTTAATCACCTTCACAAAGAGCACCTCTCTGCAGGAATAAAAACAAAGCTCTTTTTTAACCATTACATGGCTGGAGCAGCTGACTCACACACTCTGACAAACTGTTTTTGAAAACAATAATGTGTCCACCCACTCGCTCTCTGCAGCCCAATCTGTTCAGTCGGTTTGCTGCTTTGCCCCAGCAAGTACCAGCTCAGGCCTGGAGAGAGGAGAGCAGCGGTGACGCGCTCACAAAGACAGGAAGATAGTGCCTTTTCATCCACATTTACACATTAATGATTCTGTAGGACTAGATGTTGTGTAGGCATGTGAGTCACATTGCTGACAATACCATGAAGTACTGTATATCTGTGAGTGGGCCACTTCAGAAATGTACATGGCTGCTGTGTTCATTTCTACAGGATGCAGGGAGCTGTGCGGTACTGTGCTGTACAGCTGACTTCAGACCAGGAAGAGAAACACGATGGAAAAGTGGTGTTGGTTTTTACAGTATATGATGTTAAAATAGATGTACAATGTGCTCTGTGACTGTGGAGCATGGCTTTCCAAAGTCTGACACTGAGCCCCCCTTAGACAAAATCCAGATGCCTCTGTACCCACAACACAACTTAACACTGTTTAAAAGTAAAGGTACTTTACCTAATGTCTTTTTTGCTGCTACAGAGTCTGTATCATCTTCCTAATGCTCCAGTATTCTTCATTCTGTTTCCTGCCATGATGAAATCATCCAGGTTGCTACTCTTTCTAATGTCTTTTCAGCCTAGAGGGTCTCAAAACACTAAGAACAAACTGACACCATCAGCTCCAAATGGCTCTTCAGACTTTTAGCTGCCCAGAGCTCCTCCATGGCTGTTTGACATGACTACTGACTGGAAAAACCCTTCTTCTAACCTTGGCTAGGTGGCAGGCGGGGCTGATTTACAGACCGTACTTTGACAACACAGGGTGGAGAAGCTGGAATAACAACAGGAGGCTGTAGGTGGCAGTCACAGTGGATCGGGGTGAGTATCGATCAGAAAAATGTGACCAGAACTGATGAGAACTTACAGCATTTACAGGGTTGTGTGAATGGGTTCAAACACTGCCATGGTATGGTTTTATTTAGGGGCCCCTGTATCGTTAAGAACAGATCATGCAGAGTGCAAACATCAACATTTAACGTTGTGAAGCAGGCATCATTAATTCATGGTTCTCTGAGACAGATCATCTTTGTAACCCGCATGAGAGTTTGTACAGGGATTTTCAGTCTTAGTAAACGCTAATATGACACACACACATGCACACACATTATGTCACTTTCTTTCCCATTAGCAGCTAATTAAGATGTGAATGATCTCCTTGGGGAGGAGTGTTCTACTTAAGTGCCTTTCAAGCAGCTCCTCATCCCACATTAATCTGGCTCCCCAGGGGAACATGGATGCTGATCTGATTGTCCCGTGACATCAAGCTCACTTGGATGAGATGAACAGGATTAAAGTGAAATGAGCATCACATTCAGGAAGAGAGGTAATGGTGACTTCTATAACACTAGGAAATAAACAGGCCAGGAAGTAGAACGAGTTCTGCAGGAAGCTCAGAGTTTTACAATGAATATTTAATTAAGTCATGTACTAAGCAGTATTGTTCAGTTGTGCATTATTTTTTCTCAACATTATAACAGTTCAGAGTTTGTCATTTGTGTTTTCTTTGAGATGAGATTTGTCATGAAATGAAGATTAGCTGGAGCACTAAGTCAGGAGTCAGTGCAGTTTACGTGCACACGGCCAAGTAGCTGTATATATTATGGAAACCATGAATATCAATTATTTACCGGAAAGACCGGAAATACCAACCTAATA